TGGGTTTTATCAATTGTGTGTGTGCGTACGCCTTTTTCATTCTGTCTTTCCTGTGACATTCTTAAGGGGAATGTTTGCTTGTCATGCAATAGATATTCTTCAGGTGCACAATTTATGGTGACCAACCATGCTCTTTTATTCAGGACTGAGAGAGAGAGAGAGAGAGAGATCTTTTTGAATAGTATTTTTGTTTTCTTCTGATAAATACCCGGAAGTAGAATTGCTGGATCATATAGTAGGTCTTTTTAAAAATTTTGAGAAACCTCCATACTGTTTTCCTGAGTGTTTGCACTGGTTTATATTTCTCATAGTGCACAATGGTCCTCTTTTCACCACATCCTCACCAACACTTATTTCGTGTCTTTTTCATAGTAGTCATTGTAACAGGAGTGAGGTGATATCTCATTGCAGTTTTGATTTGCATTTCCCTGATGATTAGTGATGTTGAGCATCTTTTCATGTACCTGTTGGTCATCTGTATGTCATCTGTGGAAAAATGTCTTTTGCCCATTTTTTAAATCTGATTGTTGTTTTGCTATTGAGCTATATGAGTTCTTTGTATATTTTGGTCATTAACCTCTTATCAGATATGTGATTTGCAATTGTTTTCTCCCATTCAGTAGGTTATCTTCTCATTTTGTTGATGGTTTCCTTTGCTGTGCAGAAGTTTTTTAGTTTTATGTATTCTCACTTGCTTATTTTTGCTTTTATTACTTTTGGTGTCAGATTCAAAAAATCATCACCAAGACCTATGTCAAGGAGCTTACCACTTATGTTTTCCTCTAGGAGTTTTATGGTTTCAGTTTTTACGTTCAAGTCTTTAATCCATTTTGAGTTAATTTTTGTTTATGGTGTGAGATAGTGGTCCAGGTTCACTCATTTGCATTTGGCTCTCCAGTTTTCCCAACAGCATTCTTTGAAGAGACTGCCCTTTTCTCATTGTATATTCTTGGCTCTTTTGTCATAAATTAATTGGCCATATATGAGTGGGTTTATTTCTGGGTTCTCTATTCTGTTCCATTGAGCTATGTGCTAATACCATACTGTTTTAATTACTATAGCTTTGTTGTATAGTATAAATCAGGGCATGTGATGCCTCTAGCTTTTTTCTTCCTCAGGATTGTTTTTGTGGTTCCATACAAAATTTCTCTATTTTTGTGAGAAATACCATTGGAATTTTGATAGGGATTACATACTGCTTTCGGTAGAATGGACATTTTTAACAACATTCATTCTCAATCCATGAGCACAGAATATCTTTCCATTTATTTGTATCTTCTTCAGTTTCTTTCATTCATGTCTTGTAGTTTTCAATATATAGGTCTTTCACACCGTTGGTTAAATTCCTAGGTATTTTATTCTTTTTGATGCAATTGTGAATGGATTGTTTTCTTAATATATTTTTCTGATAGATCATTATTAGTGCAAAGAAATAACAGGTTTTTGTGTATTGATTTTGTACCCTCCAACTTTACTGAATTCGTTTATTAGTTCTAACAGTTTTTTAATGAAACCTTTAGGGTTTTCCATATGTAAAATCATGCCATCTGCAAATAGTGAAAAAGTTTTACTTTTTTCTTTCCAATTTAGACGCCTTTCATTTCTTTTTCTTGCCTAATTGCTCTGGTGAAGACTTCCAATACTGTGTTGAATAAAAGTGGCAAGAGTGTGGGCATCCTTGTCTTGTTCCTGATCTTAGAGGAAAAGCTTTCAGCTTTTCAGCATTGTGTATGTTGTTAACTGTGGGCTTATCATATATGGCTTTTATTATGTTCAGGGGTGTTTCCTCTATACCTGCTTTGTGGAGAATTTTTATCATAAATGGATGTTGAATTTTGTCAAATACTTTTTCTGCATCTATTGAGATGATCATATTTTTTCTTTATTTTTTGTTTATGTGGTGTATCACATTTGATTTGAACCATCCTTGTATCCCTGGAATAAATCCCACTTGGTCATGGTGTATGATTTAATTTATTGTTGAATTTGGTTTGTTAATATTTTGTTGAGGGTTTTTGCATCTGTATTCATCAGGGATGTTGACCTGTAATTTTCTTTTTTTGTGGCATCCTTGTCTGGTTTCCAGTATCAGGGTAATACTTCCCTTGTAAACTGTGTTTGGAAGAACTACCCCCTCTTCTGTTTTTGGCAAGAGTTTGAGAAGGATTGGTATTAGTTCTTCTTGGAATGTTTGGTAAAATTTATCTGTGAAGCTGCTTGGTCCTGGACTTTCGTTTGTTGGGAGGTTTTTGAATACTGATTCAGTCTCCTTGCTAGTGATCAGTCTGTTTCGATTTTCTGTTTCATCAGAGAAATAGAAAATATGAACTGCCATGTTGGACAGAGCAGAAGTATAGAACATTTCCATCATACCTGAAAGTTCTGTTGAGCAACACTGGTATAGAGTGGCCCATCCTCTGACCCTCTCTCAACACTGACTCCAGGTGCAGGAGTCACTGAATCTGTAAACTGAACAGAGACCCCTCCTCCCCTAATAGGAGACTTCAGCTGCCAAAAGACCTGGAGAGGGTACTCAGGACCTGAGAGTGTCCTGGGCACCTTCCCAGCCTGCTTTCCTCTTGGGGCTTTGGGGGTGTCTGGATCCCACCCCTCCTGTCACTCCTCAGCTCAAGACTATAACTATTCCTAAAGGCAAATTGGGTTCCGGGTGGGAAGAATGTAGACTTCTTCTACCTGAAGAGAGTGGAGGATCTTCAGCAATTATCTGGGTCTGCTGTACTCACACTAAGCCCTCAGGGAAGATGTGGTGTGAGAAGCTGTTCGAGTTTCCTACGGCTGCTGTAACAAACTGCCATAAACTTAGTGGTTTACAGTAACACACATTTATTTTCTTGCTCTGGAGGTCAGAAATCCTAAATGGGTCGGCAGGGCTGCATTCCTTTTCCATCTTGTAGAGACCACCTGTATTCCTTGGCTTGTGGCTCCTTCCTCCATCTTTGAAGCCAGTGAGAACATCTTTAAATCTCTCTCTTTTTCTCTGACCTCTGCTTCCATCCTCACATCTCCTCTGACCCTGACCTTCCTGCCTCCCTCTTATAAAGAAGAACCCTTGTGATTTCATTGGGTCAATATGTATATTCCAGAATAATTTTTTCCATCTCCAGATCCTAACCTTACTAACATCTGCAAAGTCCCTTTTGCCATGTAAGGTCACATACTCACAGATTCTGAGGAGTAGAGCATGGACATCTTTGGGGCAGAAGCATTAATCTGTCTACCCCACAGGCCCAGGAGTCAAAGACTCTCTGCAACAATTTTTCACCTGGACACTCAACCGTAGTGTCCAGTGTTCCCCTCCCTGCACACACTTTATTGCTTTTATCTTTTGGATGCAGGAAGGACACAGATAGTGACCTTGAGAAGCTGGTTTTATGGAGTTATGTTGTATTCTGTAACTCCAGGGAGAGGAGGCATTCCCTTATAGAAAGGAAACATACCATTTCTGTTGCTTTGTACCTTGATTTTGTTGTTGTTGTTTTTGTTTTTCATTTAAATTTATTGGAGATAAAACTCTCCATCAATACCTAGAGATCGTGTCTTTCTTTTTTTGGCTTCATGCTTCTTCATTATGAGGATATTCCGTAGTTTACCGAACCAATTTCCTATATATAGCAATTTGTGTTGTTTCCAATCCTTTGATATTATAAATAATGCTACAGTGAGTAACCTTGCTCTTGTCTTTTAGTATTTGTGTATCTTTCAAATAGATTCCTTGTAGTGTGATTGACAGGGAAATGATAAATGTTTTTGCATTTTGCTTGAGGATAACAAATTTCCTTCCACAGGAGTTCTACACCAACAGTGTATGAGAGTGCTTCTTTCTACAGCCTTGCCAATGAAAGATGTGGTCCCCTGTGTCTTTGTTGATCTGACAGATAAGAAATGGTATCAGTGTAGTTGCAGTCTACACCTTCGTCCTGTGAATAAGATCAATGATGATTCTACTGATTGAATTGGTAGTGGTGGAAACCAAATTAAACTGTGTCTCAGAGTGGGTGGGACATGAGGAAATGAGACAGAGAGTAAAAAAAAAAAAAAAAAATGATGAGGGAGACAGACTGGGTGGTAACTAGAAAGAAAACTATGCCCTTAGGATAAATGTGTCTCACTACCAAAAACACTTCATTGAGTTTAAATGGTGTGAGGGAGTCCAGTAGAGTGGGAGAGCTTGAAGGGAAGGGTAAAGGAGAGAGAATCGATGGTGTCCAGCTCCTAAAAAGGCAGATGGAGTGGAACACAGAACAGAACTGCAGAGCCCAGTGTTATAGAGAAGGCAGGTCCTGGTTTATAACGAGAGAGGGAGGAAACCATGGTGCAGAATATAGTTTTGGTGGCAAGATACGAAGGTAGATTCCTTCTCATGGAGATGACTTTGAGAAGTAAGGTGCAGGACCATCTGCTGAAAGTGAGGGTGTATTTGTTACGTATTGCTGCATGACAGAGCATCCCTGACCTTAGTGACTAAAACAATAATCATTTGCCATCTCTCACAGTTTTTGTCGTTCGGAATTCAGGAGCAGCTTAGCTGGAAGGTTCTGGCTTGGGACTTTCATGAGGCTGCAGGAGGTTATCAGCTGGAACTGCATTCATCTGAAGGCTTGGCTGGTGCCGAAGGGTTCACTTCCAAGGAGGTTCCCTCACATTCTGGCACATCAGTGCTGACTGTTGGAGGGGACAGTTCCTTTCCAAGTAGGTCTCTCCACAGGGCTGCTTGAGTGTCTTTGAAATATGGCAGTTGCCTTCCCTTAGAGCAAGCAGTTCAGAAGACTAAGCAGAAGCTACAGTGCCTTGTAGGGATCTACCCTCAGAAGTCATCTCCACAATTTTCTGTTGGTCACACAGGTCAGCCCTGATTCAGTGTGGCTGTGAATACCAGGAAGCTTGGATCATTCAAGCTATTCGGGAAGCTGATAACCATAGAGGGAAAAGGTGAGGCTGTGTGAGATTTAAAGAGATAAGAGAAGGGTTCACGAGTCGGAAGTTACGCTGACTTATAGAATTGCCCTGCGGTGTTGAGGGCTCTTTTCACGTCGCTGACCATGCTTTTCTAGAGGTGGCAGCGGGACCACCCTTGTGCAGGTCGGTCTGCCCAGATGTTGCCATGGGCAGGCAGATGATTGGAACCACGCCTGGCTGGAGTTCTGCTGGGCCAGAGTGAAGGTAGGATGTAGGGGTGAGGAAATTGGTTGAAATGGAGGACGGTGAGACCCAAGCTGGGAAAGTAAAAAATGAGGAGAGGAGGTGGCTCTAGCAGGAGCGTGGGAGAGTGTGTGGACTGAGCCCTTTGCGTGGGAGAAGAACACATGTAGTGAAAGAAAAACATGAATGAGCAAGGTCGAAGTTTGGGAGATTGGCTGCAGAGAGAGAAATTTCTGAACTATTGTTGTAGGTGTAGAATCATGTCCGGTGATAACAAAGTCTAGGGTGGTGCCTGGGGAAGTGCGTGGCCAAGGTGGAATGAGGACAGACTCATAGTACTGTGAGGGCCACCCTCCTGGGCTCTGATGTCACTCGAGTGCGGTAGGATGGGAGGTTGAAAGAATATTGGGAGTCAGGGGCCAGAGTCTCCAGTGAATGAGGGATTGTAGCTGGGAATGTGTTTGTGACAACCACGTGGATGGGAAGAATGTGCCCTGAGACTCAGTGAAGCTGAGGTTTTAAGGTGGATGGAGAAGTAGCCACCATTGTGGGCAGAGGCAGATGCATTTTGAAGGAGGAAATGGTGGACAGGCTAAAGATTTGTCCTCAGTACCCTGGAGAGGGAAGTTGGTTGTGAACACTTTGTGCTTTCCCGTTTATTCCAGAGCCCTGTCCTGAGTGCCCTGTGGGGATAAGAGGAGGAGCGTCCTCGTTCTTCTGCTCCCTGTTGTTCAGGAAAACTTACTGTCTGAATCACAGGATGGCAACCATGGTTCTGTCCCCCACTTGTGGTGAGTTTGGGGGTCAGCCCTCAGAGCCCAGGTGTTAAAGGCCCCTGCACCACAGAGTAGGTAGAGGGAAGGGACTGAGAAGTTGAGGTGGGTGTGTTACCCCATGAACCTGGAGGTCATTGGTGCCTGACTGTGGTTCTTGGGATTTGGGACTTAGCTGGTTTGAGTGTCTCTGGAGATGTCACCTGTGTGGCGAATGTGTGGGAGCTTTTGAATTATACTTCTAATTTTTCCTATAAACTTAAAAAAAAAAATAACAGTGGTGTCCTTTGGGACTTCAGTTTCTTCATCTGCAAAATGGAAATAGTAGTCTTTTCCTCCAGCGTGGGAGGGCGCTTGGCCCTATTTTCTGGCCCTGGGTGAGACAGTGCTCTGTTCCGTTTTCCTGTGGAAGCTGGGTGTGGGTGTTTGGGTGTCGGTATGTGCTGTGTGTGGGAATAGTCATTTGTGTCTGTTGGGGATACAGTCAATCACAAGTAGGTGGGGGAGCCTCCAGATTTGTGAGTGTGAGAACAGGGGGCAATCCTGGATTCTTGGGACGTTTCTTCTTCTCCAGCTCAGTCTTCCCCATACCCAGCCTCTCACCAGAAAGGATGCACAGAGGAGGAAGGGTTGGCTAATGGCTTCCTGACAGACTGGTTACAGGTGAGTCAGATATTCCTGTTTCCAAATCATTATTCCTTTGACCAGAAGTTGGACTTGTTATCCTTCAGTGACCTGCAGCATCAGAGCCAAATCAGGTCTTTGGGCATCTGATGGAGGGTTTGGGGCAACCCAAGCAGTGTTAGCATATGTCAGCATTTACTGCAATGTAGAGCCTCCTCCAGGGTCACTGTCTACACCATGTTCTGCTGAGAGGTTTTTTTTTGTTTTTTGTTGTTGTTTTTTTAATTTTATTGAAGTATAGTTGATTTTCAATGTCATGTTAATTTCTTCTGTGTAGCAAAGTGACAGAATGTGTGTGTGTGTGTGTGTGTGTATTCTTTTTCATATTCTTTTCCATTATGGTTTATCACAGGATATTGAATATAGTTCCCTGTACTATACAGTAGGACCTTGCTGTTTATCCATCCTATATATAATAGTTTACCTCTGCTAATCCCAAACTCCCAATCCTTCCCTCCCTACTCTCCTCCCCCTTTGCTGAGAGTTTTAAGGGGAAGCTAAGGAAAGACATGACTGTGTCCTAAACTCAGGCAATTGGTGATTGCCATTAGGGCATCATTCATCCATTTACCAAGTACTTCTCTGATTTCTGCAATGTCCTAGGCCTATGCTCATCCTTTGAGATTGAGGGGAATTCGATTGCAGGATGTCACAGTCTCACTGGGAAAGAAAATCACCTGTGTGTTAGAGGTACATTTAACATTGGGCGTGGGCATGAATAGACAGGAGAAGAGAGTTCAGGGCTGACCCTAGGAGCAGTTGAGAGCAGAGATCAGAACCCTGCCCATACAGCTTCTGCTTTGGATTCCCTGTTCCTACTCCTCTCTCATCCTTGGCTCTTTTCCTGTCCACATTGGTGGGGTTGGTCCTTGGCTAAGCCATGATGTTTGTGGTGGTTTAGGACTTGGTGACTTTTGAGGATGTGACTGTGGAGTTCACCCAGGAAGAGTGGGCACTGCTGGACCCTTCTCAGCGAACACTGTACAGAGATGTGATGCTGGAGAACTGCAGGAACCTGGCTTCACTTGGTAAGCCTGACATCATTCCTGCATTTATTTAATGACTCAGGTAACAAGACTTTTTTAAAATTGAGGTATCATTCACATAACATAAAATTCACCATTTTAATCATTTTAAAGTATGCAGTTCAGTGGCTTTTTTTTTAATCTTTATTGGAGTATAATTGCTTTACAATGGTGTGTTAGTTTCTGCTTTATAACAAAGTGAATCAATTGTACAGTGGCTTTTGATAAATTCACAGTGTTGTGCATCACCCCTAAAACCTGTACCCATTAAGTGGCCAGTACCTGTTACCTTCCCCATTCCCCACTACTGGCAACCACTAATTTGCTTTCTAGCTCTGTGGATTTGCCTATTCAGAGCAGTTCATATCAATGGAATCATAAAATGTGTGATCCTTATGTCTCATTTCTTTCAAGCAACTTAATGTTTAAAGGTTTAGCTATGTTGTAGCATGTATAGTTTCTTTATTCCTTTTTATGACTGAATAACACGCTCTTTTTATGGGTATACCACATTTTGTTTATCCGTTCATTTGGTTGATAAACATTTGGGTGGTTTCCACTTACTGCCTATTGTAAATAATGCTGCTTTGAATATTTGTGTACAAGTCTTTGTTCAAACACCTATTTTCAATTCTCTCCACTACGTATCTAGGAGTGGAATTCTGGGTTATAGATTACTATGTTTAGCTTCTTGAGGAACTGCCAACCTGTTTTTTACAGCAGCTGCACCAATGTATGAGCGTTCCAGTTTCTCCATATCTTCCCCAACATTCGCTTTTTTGAATATAGCCATCCTCCTGGGTATGAAGTGGTATCTCACTGTTGTTTTGATTTGCATTTCCCTAATTACTAATGACACTGAACATTTTTTTCATGTAATTGTTGGCTGTTTGTATATCGTTTTTGGAGAAATGTCTATTCAAGTTCTTTGCCAATTTTTTAATTGGGTTATCTTTTTTGTTTTTGGGTTTTAGAGGTTTATTATATTCTGAATACTAGATCCTATTTGCAAATGATTTCTTCCATTGTATGGTATCTTTTCATTTTCTTGATAGTATCCTTTGATACACAAGTTTTAATTTTGACGAAGTCCAATTTATGTACTTTTTCCTTTTATTTCTTGTGCATTTGGTATCATACCTAGTTATTGCCACCAAGGTCCTGAAAATTTAGCTCTATGTTTTCCTCCAAAAATTTTATAGTTTTACCTTTTCAATGAAATCTTTTATCTATTTTGAGTTAATTTTTATATGGCTTAGGTGAAATTGCATGTATTAATCCAGTTGTCCCAGCATCTTTGTAGCAAAGACTATTCTTGCCCCCATTGAATTGTTTTGGCACAATTGTCAAAAATTATTTGACCATAAAATGCGAGTTTATGTACTCTCAATTATTTTCCATTAATCTGTGTTTAGCATTGTGCCAGTACCACATTACCATTGCTTTGATGTCAGTAAGTGTGATTCCTCCTATTTGGTTCTTTCTCAGGACTGCTTTGTTTATTCAGGATGCCTTGCAATTCCATATGAATTTTAGGATCACGTTTCCATTTATGTAAAAAAAGCTGTTAGAAATTTGATAGCGATTTCATTGAATCTGTAGATGATTTTGGTTATTATTATCATAACAATATTAAATTTTTCAATACATATCCTCTGTTGCTTATTTTTAATTTGCTTCTGTTGTGGTCAGAGTAGATACTTTGTATGATTTTATTGTTTTTAAATTTATTTAGACTTGTTTTTGGACTAACATGTGCTCTATTCTGGAGCATGTTTTCCATGCACTTGAGATGAATGTGTGTTCTGTTGTTGGGTGAAGTGTTTTATGTCTGTTAGGTTTAGTAAGTTTATAGAATTGTTTAAGTCCTCTGTTTCCTTGTTGGTCTTTTAACTAGTTGTTCTACCCATTATTAAAAGTGGGCATTGAAGTCTGCAACTATTATCGTAGAACTCTATTTCTTCCTTCAATTCTGTCAGTTTTGAATTTGTATATTTTAAGCCTTTGTTGTTAGGTACGTATATGTAATTATTATATCTTCTTGATTAATTGATCTTTTAATCATCATATATTTTGTTGTGTCTTGTAAGAATTTTTGTCTTAAAGTCTATTTTGCCTGATATTAGTATAGTCACATTCTCTCTTTTTTAGCTGTGGTTTATATGGAATATCTTTTTCCACTTGTTGACTTTCAACCTGTTAGTGTCTTTAGATAGAAAGTGAGTCTCTTAAAGATAGCGTATAATTGATTATTTTCTATCCATTCTGCCAAAATCTGCCTTTTAATTGGACAGATTAGTCTGTTTACATTTAATGGAATTACTTATAAAGAAGGACTTAGTTGTGTCATTTTGCTGTTTGTTTTCTACATGCTTTATATCATTTTTATTCCTCAGTTCCTCCATTATTATTTACTTTTGTGTTAGGTATTTTCTAGTGGACCATTTTGATTCCCTTCTCATTTCTGTTTATATTTTTTAGTTATTTTCTTAGTGGCTGCCTGAGGGATTGCAATTATCATTTTAATTTTAAGCAATCTATTTTGATTTCATATCAACTTATTTCAACAGTATACAAAAAATTAGCTCCTGTATAGCTGTGCCCCTCCTTATGCTGTTTTTTGTTTGTTTGTTTGTGTTTTACAAATTATAACTTTATACATTGTTTCATTAACATGGATTTATAATTTTTAGTTCAGACATTTCTCTTTTAAATCATATTAGAAAAAAAGAGGAGTCATAGCCAAACATACATGAGTTACAAACCAAAAATAAACAATTGTTTTTGACTTTTATATTTACCTATTTATTTTCCTTTATTGGTGTTCTTTATATCTTTGTGTGGATTTGAGTCAGTACTCATTGCCCATTCATTTCAGCTTGGAAGTCTCCTATTAGCACTTCTTGTAGGATAGATATGTTAGTGACAAACACTCAGATTTTGTTTATAGGAATGTCTTCATTTCTTTATTTTCGAAGGACAGAATTTTTGGTTCACTGTTTTGTTTTGTTTTTTTTAAGCAGCTTGAGTATATTATCCCAATGCCTGTTGCCTCTGGTTTCTGATTCAAAATTATCTGTTACTGTCACTGATGATCCTGTGCACATGATGAATCTCCTCTCTCTTGCTGCTTTCAGGATACTCTGTCTTTGTCTTTCCAGTGTTTGATTATGTGTTTCAGGATGGATTCTGACTCTTTGAATTTATCCTGTTTTGGGTTTGTTAAGCTTCTTGATTGTGTACATTTATGCCTTTCATCAAATTTGGGGAAGTTTTTAGCCATTATTTCTTTAAATATTCTTTCTGCCCGTTCTTCATTTAAGGGACTCCTATTATGTGTATGTTGGTATGTTTAATGGTATCCCGTGGGTCTTTTAGGTGCTGGTCATATTTTGTTTATTCTTTTTTTCTTTCTGTTTTTCAAACTGAGTAATATAAGTTGTCCTATCTTCATGGCTACTGATTCTTTCTTCTTGCTCAAATCTGTTGTTGAACCACTCTTCTGAATTTTTCATTATAGTTATTGTAATTTTCAATTCCATAATTTCTGTTTGGTTTCTTTTTATAATTTCTTTCTCTTTAAGATGTTTTCTGTTTGGTCAGAATTTGTTCTTATGGTTTCCTTTAGATCCTTAAGCATATTTAAAACAGTTGATTTAAATTATTGGTCTAGCAAGTCCAATGTTTGGACTTCCTGAAGGATAGTTTCTACTAAATTTGGGCGGTTTTTTTCAAGTAATGGGCCATACTTTTGTGTATTGGCCTGCCTTGTAATTTTTTGTTGTTGAAAACTAGACATTTGGAATATTACAACATAGTAATTCTGGAATCACATTTTTCCCCATCCCTGGAGTTTGTTGTTGTTGCTGTGGTATGTATGTTTAGTGATATTTCTGAACTCATTTTTGTAATGTCAGTATTTGTTGTATGTGGCCACTGAAGACTCTGTTCTGTTATCTCAATGGTTAGCTAGTGATTTATCAGATTTCCTTGAACACTTGGAACAAAAAATAAAAAACTCCTAGTCTCTCTATACAGGGGCATACCTTCAAAATCAAGCAGTTTATAACTCTGCCTTAGTTTTCACTCTCTGTTTGTGAAGAGCCTCACCTTGTGCCAAAGGTGAGGACTTAGTGCCCTCTCATGTCTTTTCTGAGCATGTGCCCAAGCCTGGGTATGCACATGGCTTTCTAGATTCAAAGGAATATGAGGGAGCTTTTCAGAAAGCTTTTCAAAAATTCCCCAAAACATTTTATTCTATACTTTTCCTCCAGGCTTCTTGGTTTGCCTTTTGCTTTCCTTTGCTGTTTCCACTTGCCTCAGGCAGTAGTGGCTAATATATTGCCTTTTAATGTCTTCAGCACATGCCCACTGGGTAACCAGCTCAGCCTTCGGAGAGTTTGGGGTTAGATAAGTAAAGGCAAGCCCTTTGAGCCAGTCCTTCAGGGAGCCACCAGAAAGGTCAAAACAAACAACCATAGCTTGTTGAGAATAAGGTCCATCCTACTCCCTCTAGTACTAGGAGTTGTCTTCAATGTCACAGCCAAAGCAAGGAGTAGAGGATGAGGCAAGGGTCAGTTAAAATGTCAGCTGCTTTTTGTCTTTGATTAAGCATTTTCCTGGTTGCTGTAGACTTTTGATAAGTTTTCAGAGTTGTGATAAAGTTGTTCTGACAGTTTTTGCCAGTTTATTCACTGTTTTCATAGAGAGGGGGACTTCTGAAGTTCCATATTCCATGATTTTCATTGTCATCATTTCTCACAAGACGTCAAGCATGTGTCTGTTTCTGGGTCTGTTACTGGGGTGTAGGAGTACAGTGATGGAGACGGACATGGTCCCCATGCTCATAGAGCTTTCTGTTTAATTCCTTCCCTATGAACTGAATATTTCCTTACCCTGACTTTATATTCTCCATATGTAAAAGCTTTATAGCTTTTGAAGTGTGTATTTAAACTTGGGCATGATTCCCACACACACACCACCACCACCAAATGGAAGATATTAACTACTTGATGACCATGAGCACATAGCCCCAGGCCTCCTGGAGCCTAAGGACTGATAAAGTTAACCCTTGTGACACCACCCTGTTCCCTCATCGTCAGCCAATCAGAATTGTGCACGATCTGATCATGTACCTTGCACCCCCCCTGCCCCCCCCCCACCTGACTTTTAAAAATGATTTGCCAAAACCCTTCGGGGAGCTCGAGGCTTTTTAGGGCATGAGCCACCTCGTCTCCTTGCATGGCCTTGCAATAAACCTTTCTCTGCTCCAAAGTAAATAAATAAATAAATTTTTTAAAAAACTTGGGCATGGACTTTGGGCCTATGTGTGCCCTGTCACCTGGATATTGAATGAGTTGCTTGTATTTTTGTTTCCTGAGAGTTACTATATTCATTAGAATTTAGATGTAATTATTTCATTGCTCCCAAAGCCACACTTGCCCGTCTTCAGAATTCTTGGCTTCAGTTTCATGCAGTTGCTTGTCACTTGCACAGCCCCCCTATAACACGGCTTTTTTCCGCAAATAGGGTATCATGTCGATAAACCCAGTCTGATCTCCCAGTTGGAGCAAGAAGACAAGGTGATGACAGAGGAAAGAGGAATTCTTCCAGGCACCTGTCCAGGTGAGCACTAGGAAGATATGAGAAATAGTCTTTTTGAGGAATAGCTCTAACCAGTGATTCAGGGCATGGGAGAATTACATTTGAAAATGGCAATCAGGGAACTTTGTAAAATGTCCTTTGTTTCTGACAGAGATGGCCATGAACATTTGTTATGAGCTTCCTCATGCACCTTCTTTCTTTCCTCTTTAACTTTCTGTTCAACATCTCATACTTTACTTTGGACTCAGAGGGGGAAAAAATAAAGACGTCTCTTTCCCTTTTTAAATTTAAGTCTCATATGAGCTCTTTGTCCGACTCCTTCCTACTTTACCTTCCTGATAATTCCTCCCTTTGTAAATCTCTGATCAGTCCTAATCCTTTTAGAATCCTTTTTTAATACCTGTAATTTGAATACTCATATCCCTTTCATTGCAAACTTGCTCAAAAACCCTAATCCCTCAGTCTGTCTATACTCGTGTGTACTTTTGTGTTTCTTTTCTCCGTCAGCTTAAATTTCTTTTCAATTTGTTTCAGATTTGGAGACGGTACTTAAAGCAAAATGGTTAACTCCTAAGAAGCATGTTTTTAGAAAAGAACATTCTAATGGTGTAAAAGTGGTAAGACTAACATGGTTGATTGCTGTTTTTTCACAGTAGGAGAATTCCATAAGTTAGAAAAGCCACAGAATAAACAGGAGAGTCATTAAAGGGAAATGTTATTTACATATGAGATAATGGTGTCTCAGAAGAGATACTGTAAATCAGTTGTGAATTTGGAGAAAACTATAAATTAACTCCAGACTTGTTTCTTTACTGAGAGTTTCCACAAGTAAATATTTCCTTAAATGTGATTAAAATATTGACTGTCGAAATATAAAGTGGTCTTAAGTTTATCAGAAAATGCTCTGTGAATATGATAAGGACTTGTGGCAATGTGTCTGTCTCTCTTTTTTTAACTTCTAAGAGCTCAAACTGGGCAGAAGCCCAGTTTGACAGGCATTTAAAATAGGTAACCAAAACATCAATTATAATAATGTAACAGAATTCCTGGGAGAGAGAATTTGTATAACAGCATTGAATATTAAAAAATATTATAAATTATAGTTTTCATTCATCTCTTAACAGGAGAGAAGTCATCTGGGAGTGAAACTCAATGAATGTAATCAGTGTTTTAAAGTCTTCAGCACAAAATCTAACCTTACTCAGCACAAAAGAATTCATACTGGAGAAAAACCCTATGACTGTAATCAGTGTGGCAAATCCTTCAGCAGCAGATCCTACCTCACTATTCATAAGAGAATACATAATGGGGAGAAGCCCTATGGATGCAGTGACTGTGGGAAAGCCTTCAATGATCCTTCCTCCCTCAGACTGCATGTGAGAATCCACACTGGAGAAAAACCCTACGAATGTAACCAGTGTTTTCATGTCTTCCGCACTAGTTGTAACCTCAAAAGCCACAAGAGAATTCATACGAGGGAGAATCACCATGAATGTAATCAGTGTGGCAAGGCCTTCAGCACGAGGTCCTCCCTTACTGGGCACAACAGTATTCATACAGGAGAGAAACCTTATGAGTGCAGTGATTGTGGGAAAACCTTTAGGAAGAGCTCATATCTCACACAGCATATGAGAACTCATACTGGAGAAAAACCCTATGAGTGTGATCAGTGTGGAAAATCCTTTAGCAGTAGCTTTTCTCTTACTGTGCACAAGAGAATTCATACCGGCGAGAAACCCTATGAATGCAGTAACTGTGGGAAAGCCTTTAATAATCTCTCAGCTGTTAAGAAACATGTAAGAACTCACACTGGAGAAAAGCCCTATGAATGTAATCATTGTGGGAAATCTTTCACCACTAACTCTTACCTTTCTGTGCACAAGAGAATCCATAATAGGTGGATATGACTACAATAACTGGGAAAGCATTCACTGATTTCTTATCTCTCAGACAACTTGTGATAACTCACGCTTAGATGTATGAGTTATCTGTTGCTGCATAACAAATTTCCCTTCAAAACATAATAGCTTTAAACAGCAAACATTTATTATCTATAGGTCAGGAATTCAGAACCAGCTTAGCTGTGTAGCTCTAGCTCAGGAAGTCTCATGAGGTTGTAGTCAGGATGTCAGCAGGAGCTACTGTCATCTACTTTACTGCTGGCTGAGGAGTCCACTTCGAGAATAGCTCAGTCACATGCCTGGCAAGTTAGTGCTGGTTGTTGGCAGGGAACCTTCATTTTCTCACCATGTAGGACTCTCCACAGGGCTATGTGTCTTTATGACGTAAAAGCAGGTTCCTCCCAAAGCATTTGATTTAAAGAAGAGCTAATGCAGAAACCACAGTGTCCTCTATGACCTAGCCTCAGAAGGACATATCATCACTTCTTCCGTATTTTAATGGTCACACAGACCAATCCTGATACAGTGTGAGAAGAGACCATACTCAGTATGAATACCAGGAAACAGAGATTGTTGGGAACCATCTGAGCAGTTTTCCATGAAATCACTGATGTAAGGCCTTCAGGAGACCCTCATTCTTTCAGTCTGTTCAGTATGAAGTAATATTTAATAACTCTCATGTTAATTCACCCGTGAAAGAAACCTCATGAGTCCAGTCTTTGTGATAAGCTTTCAGCTCAAATTCACCCCTAATGTGCACAAAAGATTAAGTATTGTGGATAAATCTGAGGAATACAGTGGTGATATCTAGGGAGTCATGTGACAATTCACACTAAGGGGAAAGTCCTACGAATATCATCAGAATGTAGGAGTCTTCAGGGACACTCATCCCTTAGAACACACATGAGGAATCACTACAGAGGAACACTCACTCATATAAGGAATGTGGAAAACCCTATAGCACAAGAGTTTACATTACTGAACAGAAGATGAAGAGATTCCGAGTGCAAGTACTATGGGAAAGCCTTCAGTGTTCTCTCAACTTTTAAAGAGATATGATGATTTATTCTGGAGAGAAGGTCCCATTGAATGGCATCAGTATTGGAAAGCCTTCCATTTTCCCACATTCCTTAAACTGAAAAGTTGTTGCAGAGAAATTTGTGAGTATAAAGAATGAGGGAATGCCTTTAATGATACCTCTTATGTTAGGAAAGCTATGAAATTCCTGGATGCAAAGCCTGTGGATTAATTTTGGGAAATCTTTCGGTGAGTCCTGTCTGTTGACTTCTGAGAAGTCACGCAGGTGGGGAACCCTAGAAGATACTCGACGTGAGATTGCCTCAGCTCTTCTCTGAGTGGCCACAGAATACTTTAAACTGGGAATGAAAAGTGTAAATACTATGAGCATGGGATTACCTTTATCAGTGTCTCATCCTTAGGGTGGGGCAACTAGCTCTTTAATTTTCAGTCTTTGCTTAAGTATAAACATTTATATCTATAGCTATACCCTAAGATAAACCTTAAATTATGTTCCATAGTTTTATATGTAATATGTTTTTCATCATTTACTCTAAAAATATTAACACATTGCATATTCATAAAGGTATTTCTGATTATCTCCTGAGTGATTTAGTTTATCCTAGTAGAAATTAGACTATATTTGCTACATACCTTTTTCTAATTTAATGACATTTTTATCAAGTAAGTGGACTTTATGATGTTCAGATATAGTATGTACATTCAGGTTGGTTTTTATTTTTCTTTCAAGCTTATTTAGTGATAGATGTGAATTAAAGTCTTCCACCGTTGTTACGGATTGACAAATTCTTCTTGGTAATTGTCATTTTTTCTTTACGTATTTTGATGTAAATACATACATAAATGGTTAGGTATTGTTTTGTGAATTGTTCTTTTTTATGTAGGGGCCGTATTTTTTCATAGCAACGTACTTCAACACAATAATAAATGGTTTGGGGCTTTCCTGGTGGCGCAGCGGTTAAGAGTCCACCTGCCAATGCAGGGGACACAGGTTCGTGCCCCGGTCCGGGAGGATCCCACATGCCGTGGAGCGGCTGGGCCCATGAGCCATGACCACTGAGCCTGCACGTCCGGAGCCTGTGCTCCACAATGGGAGAGGCCGCAACAGTGAGAGGCCTGCATACCGCAAAAAATAATAATAAATATAATAATAAATGGTTGAACATTTATATAGCTCTTCGCAAAGACCACGCACTCTTCTAAATGCCTTATGGATGTTAACTTAGTACTCAGTATAAGCTTAAGAAAGGTGGACTGTTAATATCCCATTTTGCAGATGAGAAAACTGTCATGGTACACTTAAATTACTTGCCTAAGTTCACTGGCTAGTAAATGGTAGAGCCCATATTTGAATCCAGACAGTCTGTGCTCTTAACCACTAGCCTATTTATTGAGTGTATTCTATATGCCAAGCACTGTTTGAGACACTGGTGTCTATAGCAATGAATGAAACTCAAGTTTTGCCATTAAAATACATCCTAATGGTTTTCCCTACAGGAAAATCAAGAAAGTATGTTGTTATAAGTGTGATGTAGAAAACTAAAGCAGTGTAAGATAGTTAAAGGGGGTTGGGATCCTGCTATTTTATGTAGAATCAGAAGGAAAAGTCTCTTAGTTAAGGTGCACTCGCATAGAGACCTTAATGAGTTGGAACAGTGAGTCACATGAATTCGTGTGGCAAGAGCGGTCTTGGCGTATGCCGAGGCCCACACCACGGAGGCCAGTGTGAACAAGCTGGGTATGGTGAGGGGGTGGGAGAAGATGGACTGGCAGAAAAGACTTGGTGGATCCTGCTCTTGTTGGGTTTTATGGGTTATTGTTAGGACTTTCCCTTATACTTTCAATGAGTTGGCCTCTTAGAGCCCCAACAGGAAACAGCTGAGACGTTCAGACTAGGGCAGATCAAGTAGAGTTTTCATAAAAGGGCTACTTACAGAGTAGTGTAGGAAGGATGTATCAATAGAAAGACCACAAAAGGCGGTTGGTATCCAGTAGCTGGTAAAGGCAGTGCTCTAACACCCGTAAGCCTGAAGGGGCAAGTGGAGGGAATGATTATTGAAATCCAGAGATAAGAGAGGAGAGAATCATATTCCAGGAGCTGAGAGGATGACAGGGGTGGTGTCCAGACCCAGGTTCTGCAAGAAATAGCCAGTGCCAGACTTCAGTCTATTTCATCCTCCTGTTTCATGCCCAGGCTCCCCATTGACTAAACCCAACCAGAAGCCATAAGGCAAGAAAGCCCATTGATACAGTTCATACTGACTAACCTTCTAAGGTGCAGCAAGGTAGAGTAAGTGGGTTCTCTGCGGGGGAAGAAAACCAGAACTGCTCTCCCCTTTTGCTTCTTAGAATCTACTCTTAATAGTCACCTGCGTGGAAGCTTCATGTCCCTACCCAGGAATTCCATCAACTACTCTAGCGTCCTGGGTGCTGTCAAAGTGCTGATATACTCACATCTGTGGTCTAAACTAGTCTCCTCCACAAGTGTTCTTCAAGATGGATATGGGGTTCTTGGGAGGAAAGTGCAAAAAATAACCTAAACGTCCTGGTTCCCAGAAGGCGAACACTCCCACTGGGAGGCAAAGTAAGCCCCATTGAACTTTATGGCTGCTATGAGGCCAGCACACAAGGAAAGACGTCACCATGGCTTTTGGCATGGGTAATTAGTCCTTTCACCCAGAAGATGTGGGTTTTCTATTACACAGTGAGGGCAAAGAAGAAAACATTCGGAATTCAGGTAATCCAATGAGATGTCTCTTGATATTCTTTTCCCAATTTTGCTGATGAACAAGTGTAGCAGCTCTATCCTGAGAAAGGTACGGTGACCAGGTGTTCAGACTCCTCGATGATCTGGACCATCCCGCCAGGTAAGCCACCTAGACCAGCGGAGATGCTGGTCAAGGGTGAAAGGAACGTAGGGTAGGGTAGGGTAGTAGAGGAACGTGATGATAAGTGTCAGTTGCAGCTGACGCTTAGAACAGCTGAGAATAGCTGCTGTGGACTGTTGTCTGTAGTTCGTCCCATTTATCTTTCTCTTGGAAATTTCTCCAGGCAACAAGAGCAACCAGAATCCTATGTGCATTCACTGTAAGAAGCAAGTACATCTGAGTGGCATAATTGGAGGGCCATAATGGAGACCAGTATATTTCCCAGATTCTTCTTTTAGGACTAAGTCACTTCCCCAGCTGCTGGAAGTGTGGGCTGCTAATGGCTCATGCTGACAGCCTCTCTGGGAATTCCCTTGGGCCAAAGAAAAGTGCCACACCTAAGATTATGGCAACTGTCCAGGGGCCAGTCCACTTCCAATGACTGGTTCATTTGGGGGGTACAAAGGTACAATTACTTTGCCTCAATTTGACACACCCCTGAAGGGTCAGCCCCAGCTCGGGAACTCCCCATGGGATCAAGGGTAGTCTTCATTTTTAAGTTATCACAGTTCAGTCTCTTCTGCTCAATCTTGGTTCTCTACTTTAGAGATAGTTACCTTAGGCGAGTGACAAACTTTTCATGCCAAAGTTTTTTCTTCTGTAAAATGGAAACAATAAGAGTGCCTACTTTTTTAGACATATACTAAGGATTCAATCAATACATGTAAAACACTTAAGAGACTTCCTGGTATATAGGAAACATTGTATATTTATTTCATCTTTTATTATGAATTAATTAAAATCCACTGTGGGATTATACTGAGCAAAATAAGCCACACTCAAAAGAGTAAATATTGTACAGTTATATTTGTATGAATTTCAAGAACAAGCAAAAAATCTGTGATAGGAAAATAATCAGAACAGTGGTTGCATTTAAGCTCAGGTTGTGAGAGAGGGGCAGGGATTGACTGGGGAGACATGAAGGGACTTTATGGGGTGAGGAGAGTGTTCTGTATCTTAGTAGCAGCATAGGTATATGCATTTGTCAAAACACACTGAACTGTACACTTAAGGTCTCTACATTGTACTGTACGTAACATACCTAAACTTAAATCAGATTTGTGCCAAGTGAAAGGAGCCAGAGACAAAAAGACATTTATCGTAAAATTCCATTGTATGACATTCTGGAAAAGGCAAAACTTTAGGGAAGGACAAATCAGTGGTTTCTAGGGGCAAGGAGTAAGAGAGGGGGGTGACCACAAAGGGGCAGAACAAAGGGATTTGAGAGTGATGAAATTGTTCTGTCACAAATGTGTTGATGTTCACGTGTGTATCATGTTCAGTCGTGACTGTGTTGATTGATCCATAACGCTAGCATTTGCCAAAACCTACGGAACTGTGCCAACCACCACAGAGAGTGAATATTACTGTGGGTTTAAAAAGAAAAAGTAATCCCCCAGATAGGGGAGGGAATGCAAACTATAACAAGTGAACCTAACTGTATGACAAATGAATAACATAACCACAACGAATGGGGCAAAAAGGAAACCAGATTTACTTTAGAAGACTGTTTTGACTGGATACTGTAAGGTTGAATACAAAAAGAACTGTCCAGAAATTCTGTACTCTAGTTTTAAAAAAAATTGTTTTTCAGATGACACGCCTTAGCACTTCTGAAACTACTTTGTGTGTATACTAGTGTTGAACAACTAAGTAAATATACAGTAGAAAATGAGAACTAATTTCTCACTGTCAAAGAAAGATGCTTTAAAAACACATTAAACCGATACCCCACTAGAGATTATGGAAACCACTGCAAGCAACACCCCAGTCCACCCCCAAGATGGGAGCTCCAGCAGGTGATGCTCACAGCCTGCATCCAACAGTAGAGCCCACAGAAGCCCTATGAAGTGAGGTGGTCCCCTCACCCCCGACACGGGACATCAGGATCTCAGACAACAACTGTCATCCAAACACAAATGATGGAGTCCAAGCAAACAAGACCTGCATCATCCCAAAACTAGACATGATGGGAACTCCAGCAAGCACCCCTCCCCACTCACTTCAATACTAAACATGACAGCAGCCCCATAAGTGAGTCCCTCAGCCGCTTCTCAACCCCAGCTCAAAGACCGACCCCAACTATACAAACAATATAGACAAGGGGAGGCCCAGGAAGTGACTCTTCTAGTCACCCCCTCCATTCTAGGTAAAAGACCCCCCAGTCCCCTGACTAGAGATAAATGGAATCCCATGCAATTGTCACTCCAATTCTCTTCCAAAGTTAGAGACAATGGGATCTCCATTCAGTGAACCCCTCCCTGTCACACCGACGCTTGAAAAATGAGTGCACCAGACAGCAGTGAATCTCCCAGCACCAGAGAAACAAGAACCCTCGCCTCATACCACCCAGTTACTCCAACGTCATAACGGTTCCATGATGGAACGTTCAGCAAGAGATCCCCCCCGTATGTCTTCAAGGTTACAGATGATGGAAACCCCAAAGAGCAACTTACAACTCCCTACACATTAAAGAAGAAAGGACACCCCCAAAATTCCACACCATTCTCACCCAACACAAACCCCAGCTTGCCTCCCTTGGTTCCCCAACACTGGATATAAAAGTATTCCCAGCAAAGAGTATCCCCTGTGTCCCCCAAGAACAGTAATGACCAGAGAGTCTCAACAGGCAACTCACCAGGTTCTCCAGCATGAGTGTCGGGACTTCCCTGGTGGTCCAGTGGTTAAGATTCTGTGCTTCCACTGCAGGGGACCCAGGTTTGATCCCTGGTTGGGGAACTAAGATCCTGCATGCCGCGTGGTGCTGCCAAAAAAAAAAAAAAAAAAAGGAATGTCAAATAGATCCCCAGAAAAGTACCTCTCTTCTCATTATCGCAAAATAAGAGTTGATGAAGAAAGCAT